AAGGAAATCCAGGGTCTGATGTGTGATGTTGGTCATTATCTAATTATCTAAATTAACAAATAGAATTAGAATAGATGGGATTCATATGACATGTGAATGCTCACTAGTGTTCATCACTATTGTTACAGATCATGAAGAAAATGTGCCTGTACACTTTTCAGTTTCCACAGATTTAAAGCACTTAAGGTAAAAACTCAAATCCCTGGGTATAAACAGTTAATGTACTGGGCTGCCAACCAAAAGGTTAATAATGGTTCAAGTCTATTCAGAAGTGCCTTAGAAGAAATGCATGGCAATCTACTTTTGGAAAATCAGATATTAAAAACTATGGCAAAAAGCCTTTCAGGGCCTCGCCATGAGAAAGAATTATTTCAAGGGCAATTAATTGGTTTTTACTGGTTAAGATATAAACAATAGGTGGTATAATATAAATTCTAGAATTATTATAATAATATAAAGTTAATAATTTTCTGGCTCAAGAAGGTAAGAGTTTAATGGGAATGAGAGATGTATATATAATCACAATTAAACAATATAAGAAAAAAAACAATAACCAAAAACACAACAATGTTAAGAAAGGTTAAAACATACGTATATATGTTGTGGGAACACAGAAGAGGGAATCACTTTCTAGAGCAAAGAAGACAGCGTTCCTAGAAGTGCATGCAAGCTTGATCCTAAAGAATATCTAACCTTGTCCACTGGAAGATACAAGAGAGAAAACATTCTAACCAGAAGATAGATGCAAATGTTCAGGAGAGAAAAAGGACATCTGTTTGGGCAATAGTAAGGAGGTCAATTCATACAAGGAAATAAGGAGAAGGACTGATTTGTAGCAGATTATTCAAGATGGCCTAGTCTAGCCATTGACTATGTTACCTTCATCATATAACTAGAGAGGACTATGCAAATTTTAGGTTGTTTGTGACCCACCAAAGGGATTAGCTAGCTAGTTAATAAAGTAAATGAAAGTTTTGGGTTTTCTGTTTAGGTTTTTTTTATAAAAAGAGTAAATAGACCATGCAATAAACTATGTAGAACTATGTAACATGAGAATCATTAAGTTTTATAAGCCAATCCACAGGCAGAAAATAGTCTTTCACTACAGTCAAGGAGGAGGAACTCGAATGTGGCCTGTCTTTTGGACTGGAGATCTCGGTGTGAACCAGAGAGGAAAAGCTGTGACACTGGAAAGATGGAGTAAGACCCAGGGATAGCAGGAGAGGCAGCACAGAAGAGGTAAAGAGCCACCAATGTGAGACAGAGGTGTAGGATTCTAACTCAGCAAGAAAAAAAGGCTAAGTCTTTTACTGGCAAAGAGGGTGTTTTTATGTACCTGCTGAACAAGTTAGACTTGCCAACCAATGGAGTAAGAGGCAAACCCTTCCAGGTCAAAGTTTACTGGCAGCATGGAATCACATAATTTTAACACTGCCCAGAAGGGCAGAGGCTAAAGGAGAGATAAGGATTGAGAGAGGTCCATCTGTGAGTATGACAGAGAAGGGCTATCTTGATCGAAAAACTGTATCCGAAGTCTCTCCAATCTTAACTGTGACCTATTATTTCCCTAATAAATAAACTCTATAATTGGGAATATTGTTTGTGAGAGCTCTGTGTCACTGCCCAGTAGAGAACTGTAGGACAGACAGGTGATGTTATATTTGTTGTGAACGTATGGAGTTGGAGGTGGGTAAGTAAGTTTTTCGTCACTGGAATTAGCTCTATGTAGTAAATGATGGAAAGTCTTCCTCCATGTGACGTTAACAGAGGTCAGATGCTGTCATCTTCCAAGTCCGTCACACTGCTTTTACAAGGACCTATTTAGAAAGAAACACCCTAGATGGGACCTAATTATATAGGTATATTCCATAGAAATGAGCTTTGACTTTATCCTGGGCAATAGGGAACCACTGAAAGCCTGTAAGCTGGAAAACAATGTGATTAGATTTATGTTATAGAAAATCACTCTAGCAGTAATAGAAGGACTAACTTGAAGAAAGATAAAACTGGAGATAAGAAAGATATAAATTCATGTAGACATGTGAAGGCTCAAAGGAAGACAAAGGCTAACACAAGCATACACACACAAATCACTCCAACTGTAATTTTAAGTGAGACTGAAAAATCAAACATTCTGTGAGGTCATACATCATGTCAGTACTGCCAGGACAGTTAATGCTCAACAAATGCTGAACAAAGTAAATGAATGCCCCAAAGAATTATTCTGTATAAGGCCTAATGGAAATCAAGGTTCTCTTTCAATAAGTACTTTATGCTGATTTGTAAATGGCTGATAATGCAGAAAAGAAATACTAAACAATTTTCAAAGATAAAGTTAGTAAATATTTCCAGTCTTTTGTAGAAGTATCACTCCTTAGAGAGTTTTATAATCTGGACCTTTTTTTTTTTTTAAATTTCAGGGCATATTTCTAAAAAGTCTTCCCCATTTTTAAAGGTAAGGTATCATTTTTGAAGCTAAGTCTATGGCAACTGCACTTAACTTTCAAAATCTAAAATCATGTAACTTTTGTAAAAATAAGTTGCTGGTTCTAGATCTTCAAGACAGTCTCTGGGGAAATCAAGGTCAACTGACACAACACAATACATAAAGACAATAGTCTATATCCTACTTTGGCAACTGAGATCTTAAAAGTTTTTGAGCCAACATCAAAGGTACAATTATTGTTCTCTTTGTCTAGAAAATGAAAGAAGAAAAGCAAAGCAAAAATAATTCTGTGAGCTCTGGTGGCCTAGTGGCAAAAAGTTGCATTGTAATCCAATATGTTAATGGTTCAAATCAACTAGATGATCCACTGGAGGAGAGGTAATGTCCTCCTGTGCGAGTCAGATCTGATTCAACAGTACACAGAGAGAGAGAGAGAGAGAGAATATACATACATACACACACACACAGAATTACTATATCCAAAGAACTAAATGGACCACATGAACCTGAGCATCCACCACTCTGAGAACAGAACTAGAACATGCCAGTTACCAGTAATGATCACTCTGAACTGATCACAGTAGGAAGGGCTTGATATGGTGGGTAAAAATATGGAACTAAAAAACATACTAGTCAAGCTTATTAGTCTAAAAGAGGCTGTGGAACCCCTAAAGTTCACCCTTGAATCACACATGGAACCTGGAGTAAAACTTAACTTACCCAGGTAAGGCAAAACAATAAAGAAAACTTAAAAAGATATTTTAAATTAGTTAGAACATTGACTTTCTACATCAGTTCCTGGAGTGCTGCTGGTGCAATGGTTAAGAATGTGGCTACTAATTAAAAGGGCAGTAAAGCTCAAACACACCAGTGGCTTAGTGAGAGAAAGAAAAGTCAGGATTTTCATAGATTTGCAGACTTGGAGACCTTATTAAGGCAGTTCTACTCCATCTGATTAAGTCAGAATCAACACAACAGCAATAGATTTGGGAAGGGAGTTGTTGTCTAATCTCTATTGATATTAACATGTCAGAACTTCAGGATTAAGGAGCCCCTTCTTCCTATAGTATATATAATATTATTACCAAAACATTGTTCTTTGATTTCCACTTAGGAATGAGAGGTGCTTTATCTTCTGTCCTCCACAGACCATGTGAAAAATCAAGTTTGCCAGTTACAACTCCCAGCCTCCAACCCTCTGCACACAGGTCTACTACTTGGTTGTTCCCAAACATTGGTTTTTGCAGCTCCAGATAATTATACCATCTATTACTTCTGCTCAGAATTCTTTCTTTCATTGTCTCTTCCTAACAAGGCAAATTCTGCTCTTCACCTAAGTCCTAACTCAGGTTTCCTTTCCTCTGATTTTTACATAACTGTGTATTTTATATGGTTTATTTTACAAGCACAATACTTACCATGCTATAAATATGTTTTATCCCTCTAGTCTGAGAGTATCTTAAGACCCTTGATGAAATGTCTGTAGCATCTAGCACTGAGAAGGGTTTGTGGATGGAACATAGTATTTATTTGTCTATTACAAAAGGCAGCAAAGTAGTTTTTATTTTTTAAAGAAGTTCTGCTACTTTAAAGTTCATTTTCTTTATCTAGAATGCAGTGAAAAAAGATTTCATGAACGCTATGTATATCTTATGTATACTCTGAATTTGGACCTTGACTCATTCTATTACCCATGGCAATACATCTACAGAGTCTGCAATAGACATTAACTCAAGTTATGCCTTTTTACCGGACTGAAGCAAGTAAATGATTATCCACAGTCTCCAATAGCCAGCTTAGTATAAACTTCAAATTTTATTTCACAAATATTCCTTATTAGATTCTTTTAAGTTCTTTATCCTTCGTTAGTTTTGTTGCTACACTTCTAAAATTACTGTCATAAAATATGGGAAGTAGCTTCCATGGCAAATAGGAGCGAATTCACTAGTTAAATTATACTATGCAATGGCATGTTGTACAGATAAAGATATGTTTGTAGATGTATTTTTATTTAGAAAAAGTTTATGAAAATGATTGACTACATACACATACACAAATACCAACACACACACACACACACAAAAAAAAAATACAAAGTCAGATATAAATTAACAAAATATCAGCATGGCTAACTCAGTGAAACTCTAGGGGCACACTGGTTAAGCATTTGGCTACTAATTAAATAGTCAGCAACATGAATCCACCAGCTACTTGGTGAGAGGGAGGTGTAGAAGTCTGTGTAAATATTGACAGCCTTGGAAATCGTATGGTACGATTCTGCTCTGGCCCACAGGGTTATTATGAGTTGGAACTGAAAAAATGGCAATAAATTTGGTTCCAGCTTACTTTTGAGAGATAAGTCTGCTTCTAATTTTCTTACTTAAACACTTTTCCAATAGTCTTAAATTTTCTAAAATGCATATATATATCACTACTTTCCTAAGCAAGGTGAGAGGTAAAGAACTATGAATGTACCTCTAAGGTGCTGGAGGTTTCAGTTGTAGAATTTCCAGTATTATTGCTTGAGTTTGAAGACACTGTTTCATTTTTGCCTTCATTATCTGACTTTTCATCGGAACTCATACATTCAATATCTGCATCAAAGCCTGTTGGATATCCCATTGCCTGCAATACCTGTAGAGATCACATTAAAATTCAGTTTTATTTCAACCTAGAGATCATAGAGAAGACATAAAAGGACTAAAGCAACAATTTCAAATTCACACATCTAGATCCATGAAGCACACTGCAGGAAGAACAAGATGGTAATAAGTCCACTAAACTTATTTAAACAAGTATACCTACCTGAAAGTTGCCATGGAGAAAAGGGAAAAACCTCTTCAGAATCATTATGTTCAAATAATGAGTGACCTGTAATCCTGACCTTGCATCTAGAACATTTAACATGGAGATGAAAGGTGGTTGTTGTTGTTATGTGTTGTCGAGTTGCTTGTCATAGTGACCCTATGTACAACCCTAAACTCTGCTCTGTCCTGTGCCAATCTCACTGTCTCCGACACACCAATCCTGATTGCCCCAGTCACTGAATCAGTCCACCTCAGAGAGGGCCTTCCCCTCCTGCGCCTGCCCTCCACCCTCCCAAGTATGATGTCCTTCTTCCATGACTGGTCTCTCTCCTAACAACATGACCAAAGAATGTCAGATGAAGCCTCAGAATCCTTGCCTCCAAGGAGCAGCCCAGTTTAACTCTTTCCAGGATGAATCTGTTTGTTTTCTTAGCAGTCCATGGTATCCTAAATACTCTTCTCTTCAACACCACAGCTCAAAGGCATCGATTCTCCTTCTATCCTCCCTAGTCATTGTCCAACTCTCTGATGCATAACAAGTGATTGCACAGACCATGGCCTGTATCAGATGCACCTTAGTCTCCAGAGAGATACCACTGCTCTTCAGTACTTTAGAGAGGTCCCTAACAGCAGACTTTTCCCATCTCAATATGTCTTTTAATTTCCTGGCTGCAGGTGTCAAGAGTGTTAATTATAGAGCCAAGCAGACTAAAGCTCTGAACAATCTCAATCTCTTCACCATGCATCCTGATGCTGCCAATTGGTCCAGTGGTGAGAATCTTTGTCTTCTTGACACTGAGTCTCAATCCATACTGAAGGCTGCAGTCCTTGACTCTCTGCAGCAAGCGCTTCAGGTCCTCCTCAGTTTCACCAAGCAGGGTTGTGTCATCAGCATAACGCAGATTGTTGATAGATCTTCCACCAATCCTGACCCCATATTTCTCCTCAAAGACCACAGCCTCCCAGATAATCTGTTCTGCACACAGGTTGAAAAGGTAGGGACACAGGATACATCCCTGGCGTATGCCCTTCTCAATTTTGAACCAAGCAGTGTTTTCTTGCTCTGTTCTGATGACTGCCTTTTGGTCCAAGTATAGGTTTTGCATTAGCACAATCAAATGCCTTTGTAAAATCAATGAAGCACAGATAGACATTCCTCTGGTACTCCCTGCTTTCAGCCAAGATCCATCTAACAGACCACCAACTACTCATATGCAAGTTCAAGCTGAAGCTGAGGAAAATTAAACCGAATCCATGGGAACCAAAAAAGAACTTTGAGTCTATCCCACCTGAATATCGGAACCATCTCAGGAATAGGTTTGAGGCCTTGAACATGAATGAGCAAAGACCAGATGAGCTGTGGGATGATATCAAGGGTATCATCCAAGAAGAGTGCAAACGTTCATTACAAAGACAGAAGAGGAAGAGAAGACCAAAATGGATGTCAGAAGAGACTCTGAAAATTGCACTGGAGTGCAGAGAAGCCAAAGCACAAGAAGAATTCAAGATACTAAAGAGCTGAAGAGAAGATTTCAAAAGGCAGTGAGGGATGACAAAGTAAAATATGACAAAGAAATGTGCAAGGAGTTGGAGTCAAAAAACCAAAAGGGTTGAACTCGCTCAGTATTTCTTAAGCTCAAGGAACTAAAGAACAAGTTCAAACCTCGAGTTGCTATAATAATCAAAGATGCTTTAGGCAGAATATTAAATGATACAGGAAATATTAAAAGAAGATGGAAAGAATATACTGAGTCACTGTATTGGCACACACGGAAGAGTTTAATAAAATAACTTATGAGCAAGAGCCTATGGTGATGAAAGAAGAAGTTCAGGCTGCTTAGAAAGAAATAGCAAAAAATAAGTCCCCAGGAATAGATGGTATACCAATTAGCATATTTCAGCTCACAGATGCTGCCCTGGATGTGCTCACCAAGTTGTGCCAAGAAATCCAGAGAACAACCACTTGGCCAACTGACTGGAAGAGATCTATATTTGTTCCCACTCCAAGGAAATGTCACCCAACTGAGTGTGGAAACTATAGAACAATATCATTGATTTCACATGCAAGCAAGATTCTAATGAAGATTATCCAAAAACGACTGGAACAGCACATCACCAGAGAACTGCCAGAAGTCCAGGCTGGATTTAAAAGAGGTCGTGGTACTAGGGATATTGTAGTTAATGTTAGATGTAGATGAAAGGGAAAGGCCAAATTAACCAGCAGAATATAGGGGAAGTTCAAGACGCACAATAGAAAATGTACACTGGAACAGAAAAACTGGAACTTGAAAATCTTTCTCCTCTGCTCCTCAATTTTCTAATTAGCAAAACAATATGACCAGATTAGTTGATTTGTAAATTCTTTGTCTCAATACATTAGAGGAACCTGGCTCATAAACTGTTTTACTTATTGATCTCCTTGTGTTCAACTTATACTTTAACTGAAATTCAAAAGAAAAGTTAAGTTGTCTCTATATTCTGTATCTATTTTCCATGATAAAAAAGCTAGGAATAATTTTAGGCTATTTTTACTATCATTGCCTTTCAAGGCTTAATTATTCTATCAATAGTTTCAATGTTTAAACTTACTTTTTCATTCAGAGATCTGGCATTTCTCATATTCTTTTGAAATTAAACTGTCAGAATACTGAGAGGGGTGTATATGTGTTATCTTTTTCTTTTATAGGCATGCACTTTTTAGTTGAATGTTTCTTACGGGTTGGAATTAACTCATGGGCAGTAAGGTTAGTTTGGTTTTCATTTCTAGGATTTACTGTATTTCAGATTTTTGAAAGAGAATAAATTCACCTGTATTTGGTTAGGCAGGTCTCTTTTATAGTAAGCTGCATTATAAATTACTAACTGAAGATTTGTATCAGAGGATTCAGAGAGAGGCTTCTAAAGGCACTTTTAATTGTTTCTATTTTAACTAATGATATATATAGGTTCCTGGAATTTAAAAGCAACATATTACTTCTATACAATCAACTATACCTATCTCTTTCTCTTTCACTCACTTCAATCTAGTTGGAGCTGAATCATAGATGACCACCCACAGCAGGATTTCAAAGGCTGCAAATCACACAGGAGGAGACTGCCCATTTTTCCTACAGAGCCACTGGTGGTTTCAAATCGCCTGCCTTTGGGTTGGCAGTACAATTCCTTACCTACTAGGCTACCTTACCTACTAGACTACCACATGCTTTAAAAAATTGTTACAACAGTTATATAAATAAGAATCCAGGAAGCCTTGCCTTTACGAACAAGGCATCTTCTAGAAAAGAATCTGCCAGTGCAAATAAAATAGTATTACTCTACACAAAATAAGTAAATTTCTGTACTAAAAGAATATGAAATAAACTTATCCAATTTATATGGAGAATCTGGCATTCTACTAAACATTTAAAATCAGAAATAAATTCTTTTTATTTAATTGAGAGTAAAGCCAAGCATCCTTGTCAATATCTTAAATTCTAAAAGCACTCAGATGCTCACCTTACCCTAAGGACACTAACATGATTTGGTTATATTCTCATTAATATTTTACACAGGAAACAGCTCACTAATGTTTGGATCATACAAATATGCTCTGCTTTAAAATTTCACATCTGAAAAAACAGCTACCAGTCTAAAATTAACACCACTGCTGTTGGTAGGTGTCACATGGTGATTCAAAGTGATCCTATAAACCAGCGAACAAAGCTGTGCTCTACCCTGCATCACACTCATGATATCCAACATGCTTGAGTTCACTGTTTTCTTAGTCACTGTGACAATTCATCTCGATAAGAATCATCCTCTGTTTCCTAAAGGATTAATGTCTTTTTCCAAGGACTGGTCTCATCTTAAAAACATGCCCAAAGTATGTGAGATGCAGTATCACCGTGCATGGTCAACCAGCACGAGCTGTCATGATCTCTTCAAAGTGATGCAGAGCAAAGACGTCTAAAGTTTTAACACTAAGGTATGCGTGATCCAAGCCATGGTCTTTTCAATTACTTGCTATGTATCTGAAAGTTAGACAATGCCTAAGGATGAAAGAATAAACATTGCTGCTTTTGAACTGTGGTGTTGAAGAAAAGCACTGAATATCCCATGGTCTGCCAAAAGGACAAACAAGTCTGTTTTACTTAGAGAAAGTGCATGTGTAACCAGGATGCTCCTTGGAAGCACGGACAGTGAAGCTTTGGTTCAAACTTTGGCTATGTCGTTAGGAGGGGACAGTCATTGGAGAATAACAGCATAAGAGAGGAAGACCTTCAACAAGATGGATTGACATTGTGACTGTAACAATGGGTTCAAGTATATTAGAGACAACAAGGATTGCACAAGCCAGGGCCAACCTCAAATCTGTTCAGAGGGTCATGAATCACAGTCAACTTGATGGCACATAACAACAACAACTACTAATGAAAAGTGCAAATCAAAAGGAAAGAGTTATCAAAATAAATATGAGATATCATCTTACTCCAGCTGGTGAGGTTGTGGAGACATTGGAACTCTTATTCATTGCTGGTGGAAATGTAAAATGGTACGACCACTTTGGAAGGCAGTCTGGTATTTTCTCAAAAAATTGGAAAGAGAAATACAATTTGACCCAGCAATTCCACTATAGAGAATGTACCATAAAGAAATCAGAACCACAACTCAAACAGATGTATGCAAACCCATGTTTATTGTTGCGTTATTTATAATAGCAAAGAGATGGAAATAACCCCAAGTGTCCATCAACAAATGGATAGGAAAATTATGGTACATTCACAAGAGATTATTATGTAGCACTGAAAAACAAGGAACTCATAAATATTCCACAATATGGGCAAGCGTGGAGGACATCATACTGAATGAAATATCTCCATCACAAAAGGACAAATACTGCATGCTGTTATAAAATAGGACAGACATGGGGTAGAAGGAAAAAGGGAAAAGAGTAGAGGTAATGAACACTACATTAGATCAGATGAGGGGAAGAACTGTCCAAATGGAATATTTAATTGGGTATTATATGTACGACAACAATCTAAAACCAGAGGTGCACTGAGGGAGGCTTTGAGGAAGGGGAAGGGAAGGGAGAGAATGTGGAACAATGAAAAAAATTCAATAAAATAAAAAAGCCAAGAGTCACAAATACATTTGGTTCATCCCAATAAAAACAAAAGACATTAAGTTTTTCCTAATTTATCATTTAGAGCTAAGTGACATAAAAAATTACTATTACTTCTCCTTCTCTTTTTCTTACACATCAAATTATTACTTTATTGGAGCAACTTAGCAAATTTTAAAATAGTTTACATAGCTGAGGCATAACCTCTCAAAAGACAGTGTCCAACCCCAAAACAACAAAATTAACAAAAATATTTCAAATTAAGTAAAAACTTCCCAAGGCTCTGGTACCAAAGTTTCACTGGCGTGAAGTCAGAGGAAAGGACCAGGCTCACATGGCGGAAATGATTTTTGATTCTTTGGTGTAATTTATCCTAATAGTTATAGACTCCCTAACCAAGTTACTGAGTGAGAAATGCAAGCATTTTTATATTGTGGGCATTACTTTCATAAATATATTAAGCTATGAATAGATTTGGCAGTATGTGGTATAGCCTTTATGAAGGACAATATGGCAAAAATGTCTGGCATATAACAGGCACTCAATACATTATTTAATGAATTAATGAATCATTCAAATGTTCTTTCCTCTTACCTTGTAATTCCATCTCTAGAAGATATTTTAAGGGATAATCAGATAACAAACAAACTGTAAGCACAAATCTAATAGAATTATCTGTACTCTAGTAGATTTAAAATAACGAAATATTAGCCCAGTTCAGTACGAATGAAATGCTACGCCATCAAATAAGAGCTATATTTATGTTAACTGTACAAAATTCACAATATATTTTTAGTAAAATGAAATAGTAAAATAGTATAGCCCTATTTTAAGTACAGGAAGCTCTAGTGTCATTGGTTAGAAGTAGTACTGGCAACCGAAAGGTATCTGATCCAAGTCCGCCAGCTGCTCAACGTAAAAAAGATGGGTCAATCTCCTCTACCTTTCCTGCTGAAAATCTGTTGAAGGGTCGGCTATTCGTTGGTTCCGACTCAACGGTACAAAACAACAATAATATATTAAGTATATTCATTACAGAGGCCCACCACTCCTTATCTGAAACCTTTGCAGCCAGGTTATGTTTTGAGAATTCATTATTTTTTATAGTTTAGAAAGTTAATTCTGCATATAGGCTATATATTTTGCAATATCCCTGTGTGGTCTCAGACATGCCTCATATTTGGGCAAAGAAATACATTAAGTTTTCATATTAAATTAAATAATAAGGACCAAAAGGAATCCCGTATCAATTCAGGTTAGATTTTGCCACCCAGTTAAGTTTATCAAACTTAGGGGAAAACCTTTTTTTCTATTTTCAATTTTTTTTTTAAATTCTGGAACTGCACATTCCCCTTCCCCTCCTTTTAAATTTCAAAGTTTGAGGGAAAAAAAACAGCAAACACCCCATATAAAATACTAATAATTATTTTCTCCAGATATTTAAATTATGGAGCTATTTTCCACTCATTTTTCTAAAATGTTTACATATACCATATTTATAATAAAACAAAGTCAGAAGGATTTATAGTAAATAAATTTTTAGGTTTTAGAAACCCAGATATATAAACAACACTGTGAAGACCTTAGAGAAACTGCCCATCTCAACAAAACAAAAACAAATGCATAGATCTATAAAGAATTTAAAAGAATTGAGATCTGAGAAAAGCTCTCTTATTCTCCTTCTCTTTTTTATCAAGTTGGAACGAACTCACAGTTGATCTTCCAGCAGATTCTCAGAAGGCTGTAAATAAAAGAGGCATGGCCTTTGAGTTAGTTAACAATTCCTTATGGACTACACCACTAGAGTTTTCATGTCAGAACGCTGTTATGAACTGTCACGTTAGAACCAGTTCACAGGTGACCCTCCAGAGAGTTTTCAGATATAAACTGCACAAGAGAAGACCATCTATCTTTCTCCCACAGAGCAGATGGTGGATTCAAATCACTTGCCTTGGGGTTGCCAGTACTAGTGCCTTAAAATGTTGAACTAAGGAAATCAAGCAAAAAGAGGTTTTTGCCTCTAGATTTCTCTTCTAATTTATTCTATCTGGATGGATCAGAAGTCTAATTTATTCTTTTTTTCAAACAACTCAATTCTCCATATTTCAGTTAGACAATAACTGAACTCTATATCCTAACTAAAAATTTTAGTGACTCACTGAGTCAAAACTGCTAATAATAAAGGTTTTTATAAGCAACAATGCTACAAAATTGCTGCACCAAAAATACTTTAAAGAGT